TACGTATGTATGTAAGTATGTATGTATGTACGTACGTACGTACGTAGGTAGGTAGGTAGGTATGTATGTATGTATGTATGCATGTATACATACATATATATATATATACGAAGGATGAAGAAGATTGCTAGGGAGAGTGCCGCCAAAGGACTGTATTTGGAAAGGAACCCAAGCGGAGCGATTTCTATATGAATATGGGAGATTTGTTTTTGCATACCTTGATAAAGCGAACCATCCACTGCAGTACGGCTGATCTTGTTTGCGCTGAGCTGGTACGAGAAAATGAAGCGATGTTGGTTAGTACAGTGTGACAGGTAGCATATCAACTGCCCACACATTGAGGTTACGCTGCGGCACCTGCAGATATTTTTGCTTGCGGCGTTTGTGCCTTTGTCTTGGCGGTCGGAAAGGTGCCAGTTGTGTTGCGTCGTTGGCTAGCATCCATTAGACATGTCAGGGCATGTTTTCAGCGATTTCAGTATTTCAGTGGATGTTTTAGTTTGAGCCAGCCTTTTGACACCACCATCGTTTTACTCGTGCTTACGCCAAACAGATTTGATGTAAGCACAGCAGAATTGTCAGCCCTGCGCAGCCACCTTGGACATCGGCGCTCGACTCGGATCCCTCCTTCTCATTTATTCGTCGACATGGCGTCCGGTCCTTGGCTCACCCTGGTAGATCTGGCAATTGCCAGGCACTGCCCGGGCTTGGACCGCTTTCAGGTGGCCAACTTGCTCCAACAATGGAAAGGAGGAGCGCGCGGCCCTCCAAGCAAGAGTGAGGAGGCAGGGTTGCGACTTGGACCCTTGGCCACAACTTGCAATCCCCCTCCCCAGGCCACACTCTTGGCAGACATGCTCCGCGTGGACCCAGTGCGAAGGAGCACCTCTGATGAGGCCAGCATCAGAGCGTCAGACAGCCTCTGACCTGATTCGCTGCTGTTGCTTCATTACAATAATCCAAAATACATTTCTGTGCCCAGTGCTTGCGGAACGTCTGGCTGGAAGCTGTGACGCGGAATCGCTCCCACACAGCCTGAGATCCGTTGGCGACCTCAGTGACCTCAGTCTTCCAAGCCATTTGAACTCTTCTGGTTGAAGATTGGCCAGGTGATTTGCACGCAGCCAGAGCGACAAGCGGTGCTTCGAATCCAGGGCCTCCAGGGGCTACTCCTGTGGTGGCACGAATCTTCCTAGGTATAGTGCGACGTGTACAGAGAGAATTATCCGGGTGTCCACTCCCGCGAGACTGAAGCATTTGACTGTGGATCCCGCCTGACGTTCATAAACCCAAAACCAAATACCAATCTACCCAGCCTAGCTTGTCGTGTATCGAAGTGCGCCAGATGCTGTCAGGTCGTATCCACCGATCTTGAGTGGAGCTTCTGGTCTTGCCATTCATTCATTTGAGGAGGAGTGCGAGACCCGGTTGCGATTTGAAATTTGCATGGTGTACAGAGATGAGGTGTGGAGTGAACTGGCGATGTGATTTTCAAGAAAATGTTTACACTTCTCCTTATGTCAATGTCGCAGCAAGCTGGAATCATCTTGTCCTGCCGCGAATTCATGCATGGAACCTCGCCGCCGGCCTCGGCTCGGAAGGAGTTGTTTGTGAAAATTGTCGATGCGCTACTTTAAAGACTTGACTCTACGGAAGCACAGTACTCTACAAAAGCGCACTCCATTCTTCATTCTTGCGGCTGACATCGCGCCCGCCAGCTGCAATCTAGATAACATGAGGCCATGGGGCTCGTGTCTTCTTGCCCGATACTTTTGGAATCTTTGGGTGAATGAGAGGCAGTACACCTTCATCGGTCTGTGTGTGCTGGCACAGAGCGCGCAGGCAATCTCACAACTTTGCTCCACAGCTGTCGAGAGATACCTCGTACAGGCTGTGCGACCGGAGCGCGAATTCGTCATAAAGAGCCGGCGTGACGACGGTGGCGGTCTCAGCTCAGACGCCTGCAGCTGACACCCGAGCAAGCAGTGAAAGCTCAGGTCCGATTGTCATTGACAAGGCAGAGAGAGCCTTTTGCAGCTTACCCATTGGGAAAATATTATGGGTATATGGATAATGGAAAAGAAAATGGAAACTACTAAAGTATATTGGCGTTATATTGGGAATAATGGAGAAGAAAATGGAAACTATTTTTTTAGCTATTTCACAGAAACTCTCCGCGAGGTAGAGCTGCAGCGAATCAGCGACGCGTTGAAGGCGCAGCCATGCGCAGCGCGCATCGGCATGGGACCTCCAAGAAATTTGCAGTATAGCTATGTGGTAGTTTCCCAGAATAGGGGACCCCAATATAGACCCCAAAATACTATAATCCTTTTTACTGGGACCCCCAAAATGGTACCCTTATTCTTGGGAATCCCCATGTATAGCTGTTGGATCCACCGTTTGACAGAACGGCGACCTGGAGACCGCGGCGGCCTCGAAGATCCAGATCAGCAGTGGCAAGGCACATGAGTCACATTAGATCACATTAGAATCCATAGGATGTTGTATGATATTGTGATCTTCAATCCCAGCGCTGCCTCCACTCCAACTCTCACTGCACATGGGCAGGCTGCTGACGGACCGGAGAATTCGGACAAGAACCAGATTCAGCAAAGCACAGAGACCGTTCAGACTGCTGTGGAGCCCGAGCCGCACGACGACAGTCACAAGAGCGCAGAGACTTCCGACAAGTCTCTCCCAGCTTCTTAGCAGCCTTAGCCTGCGCTTGTAGTTGCACTGCAGTTTCAAGCTCACACAGGCTGCAGAGAATGGCCATGAAGATGCCTCCTCATCGAAAGAGGAGACATGACTGCACATGCTATTGCTGCTTCTATTGAGTTTCATGCAGTCCAAGGAGCCCACGGCGGCTCACAAGGCGCGGAACCTCTGATACTACTGGATACTCGTGGCTTGAATTCATCAGTCCCAGCCTCTGAGCCCGCAGGCGGAATTGCACGTGTCCTTCGAAGCCGGGGGCAGTGTGCGACAGACTGAATGAATGGGTCATGCCACTGGCTTGAGGAACTTGCCAAGTCGCACAATAACATGGACCGCATCATGAAGCAATACAAGGAGGTCGCCGACAAGGCGCTAGTTGCAGGGCAGCGCTCCGAGCGACTTGCTGAGTGTGAACTCCGCACCACAGTACTGTAGCATGAATGCGAATGTGAGTTCACACTCAGCATCTTTGGCAGGGAGAGCAGCGGGCTGCAAAATTTGTTGATACCATGGGCCCCGCACTTGGGCATCAACTGGCGAAGGGGCCTCCTGCTTGTACACTGCGCCCAGGCACCTACCAAACATCGCTGACAGGGCTTCGCGAGCCACTCCGAAAGATTTCTTCTCAGGCTCTGGAGTTACGGAACCCTTATTCACAACCTGCCCTGCTAGACTGCTAGACATCCAGAAGCTAAACCTGCATGTCTTACATTGATAAGCATGCTGAGCCTCAATTAGTGCAGGTCACCCAGCTTCAAACAAAGATCGTCTCAAAGCTGGAGGCCGTGCGTTCACTGCTGGCACTGTGTGTAAGCGGCGGCTTGTGTTCTGGCAGGCAGACGAGAAGGAGCGCATGGCACCTCTGAATAGCGCAGTTCCCAGTGTGCACGCAATATGGATGCATCACCAAACTAAGCCTCGGTGAAACCTGATTCCACTTGTGGAGCACCCAGCAGGTCTGCAAGACGAGCTGGAGCCCACCAGCAATGCTTGGACCTCAGCTCGTCAGTATGAGGAGGTTTGAGAACTGCGCTGTGTGGAGCGTGCTGCTGAGGCATCCGCACCGTCAGAATCCACCCCATCTGAATCATTCTGACCTCGCCTCATGGCAAGACACTTTGCCGTAGCTCAGCCACAGCCAAAAGCGCAGAAGAGAACGGATAGGGCAGTCCGTTTCTGAAGGCACCGGAGCCTGGCCATGTTCGCTTAACGCGCTCATGCAGAATCAGTTTTCGGTGTTCAGATGATTGCTGATGCTTAAAATGATGGCGAGATGTGGGCTCAAAGGAGTTTGATTAGCTAGGAGATGTCTCACAGCTCTTTTCCCATGCATGGCTTCTACTTGTGTGAGCCATGACGCGCTGACCGGGTACACGCCCTCCCACGACCTGACTTTTTTGGAAAGCCAGCAGAGGGCCCCGGCCATTCGCGGGCTGCTGTATAAGGAAAGGCAGGAGAGGCAGGGCCCGGAATCTAGCCGTTTTCTTCGTCTGATGAAGCGGCTTGGATTCAAGGCCGCAGCGAGAGAATGCTCATATTCGCTGGGACGAACAGTGCATTGCGGAGCACGACAAGGTTGTGATGTGATTCAGAAAATGTTGCAGCTCTGTCTCTGCTTGCGCTGCTAAACAGGAGCGCGGAACTCGCCAAAAGATCGACGAGCCTATGCCTTGGTTCAGGGCAGCCTTGGAGCTTCTCGCAACGTGCAGCAGCACAAAAAGCCGAATGTGACGAAATGCATGTGCTCAACAGGCCGGATACTCCTTTCGTGCGCAGCCCTGAATCTTCGGACGGCGAGGTCCTGGAACTCAACATTCAGCTCGTGTATTAAATCACCCTCGGGAAGCCAACGCATGCAAATGCTCACAAGCTTCAAAAGCTGAGGAGGAATCCTGTGCCAGAGCCTTTTACTTGATTGCTGTGTCGCAGATGTGCAACGCTTTTCTGTGTCATGAGGCGCCTAAAGCGTTGGCTTCCTCCCAGCCACAAGAGCTTGACGTGGTCACCTTAATCGCTGAACCGTTTTGATTCTGGGGATTGCAGCTAAGCATTGCGCCTCTGAAGGCCGATGACGAGAGGACAGCTGATGTGCAGGTTGACTGAGGGCTGGTCTGAAGCTGTTCTGGCAAAGGATCGCCACGTCTCCCACGTCCATGGTGCGCACTGGGGGCTTTTGTATGCTCAGCGAAAATCTCTGTGAGCGCTATAGGGTTAAGTGATTGTAGGCCATGCTGACGAACCGTCTCAATCAGCTGGTTGAGAGCAGCAGCCAAAGGTACGTACTAGCCATCCAACATGCTAATGCGCGTGGAATTGTGTGGAAGCATGAAGCATGTTCACAGTGAAGGCGCGACTCTCGGAGCAGCGGGTCGGATGGGGAGGCCGTAAGCCCGGCTTCTTTTGTTCAAAAGGGTCAAAAAAGTATGCGGTATCATGCCTTCCTTGCAGGTGAGCAGGGAGGTGCAAGCTAGCGAGGCGTGCAGGCCAGTGTTAGCAACCATGGATTTGGCTTTCAGAGGCTTGCAGAGTCTTACTGCGGGTTCCTTGAGGCCTGAGACCAAAAGTGTCTCAAGCAGGATCCGCCTCCCAGAGGACGGGAAGCTTGCGCTTTACTTCTGCCAAACGATAGTAGACTACACAGGAGGATGAAGGCCACCCGAAGGCCTCAACATCCGAATTCAAGGACCGCAACAGAGAGGAGATTACATTTCATGTTTTGGTGTCCCTTGGGAGCCGTGATTAGGCAAGACGCGCGAAGCACTACAACGAATTTGCGGCAATCAAGGTGCACCAGTTGAGCTTGACACTGTCAAGAGCTCGGAGGGTTGGTTGGTTGCATCATTCAGTTTGCCGTGTAGGCCTTGCGAAAGAAAAAGGGGGCCGACAGTGAGAGCAGCGCAGACTCCGACACCTCTGATGAGGCCATGCCGGCACATGCAAGTGGCATACCGGAGTCCGATTTCGTTGTGTGCAGGCGGCTGCCGCTGCCAAGAAGGAATGGAAGGCCCGACAGGCGACACGCTCGAGCACAGCGCTGCTTTCCCAATTTGCCCTGCTCCATGCCCAGGCGAGGTCATTGGGGGGTGCGGGCGCCCAGGAGAAGCAGTGTCACTGGATTGTGCAGAGTCGGGCTGTCTCGAGGTGATGTTGGCAACAGGACAGGTGGCATTGATTCCGTCTCGGGCACTCATCCTACCAACTTGCAGGACTGTCCTCACAAGTTTGTCTTGCAGGTAGTCGAAAGATCTGGCAAGCTAACTCTTGCAAGTTGCGTCATATGAAGAGAGAATGGAGACAGGAGACCTCGGAATGCAAGGCCGGGTGGACCGCACGACAGGCTTGATACCTTTGAGACCTTTGTGACTCTGAGGCATCTTCTCTGTGCGGTTGCCCAGAAAATTGGCAGGTCTTGATGCTGGAGTTGGTTGATTCGAACGGCCCTATAGTTCTGCGCACAAGGCCAAGCAGAACGCTTCCAAATCCGATGGAGGAAGTCTCGGCCCCACTTCTTGATGGTGATACCATCAGCATCTCTTCACTCGCAATCACTCGCGCCATGAGGGTGGTCGCCCGCCAGTACACTTTGGAGAGGAGCTGCAGGGCACGGCCTTTTTTGGTAATCGCTTCCCCTAATGGTAAACAATGTCCCAGCCTTGCCCGGTGCCTACTAATACAGAACTCCCAGCCCCCAAAACCATTTACTGTCGCAAGACTCGCATTGGACCCTACTTACTCAGATCTTATGGTCGATTCAGTCATCTTCTCATTGATCACGAAATCAAGGAGGTTGCTTGTTGCGGTTAGAAGTCCTCCAGTCTGGATTAATTGATTTAGTTAAAAGCAAGATGCATTCTAACTTAGATTCCCTTTAGAGAGTTTAGAGAGTGTAGGCCGCTTTCTTGATTTTCTAAGATTGAAGGTTCGTGATTCTGGTCCTGTTGATGCCTCGTGACACCACTGGTTCATGTTGAATTCCTTTGAAGATGCCCATCAATGGCCGCCTAAATGGCCCCTCTAAAATCGGGCTTACCCCCTTTACAGGTAGCCTTCCGGGATTCTTGGCCTCCTGATTCATGTTTTGCTTTCCCGGGAGCGTTATTCAGGGGAGCTGCGAGTTTCAAGAGCCCATCTAGGCATGCCGCCGTGGGACAGCTTTGGTGTACGTCATAGCCGCTTCACATTCAGAAAGCTTTCGCATGCAGTTAATGCATGGGACGCTCGTGTGAGAGAGGATTCAAAAAGCCGTGAACTTGGGTATTGCAAACGCCGCGATGAACCAGGCTGTATGCTTATTAGTTGGGCCCAAGTACTAAGTACTAAGTGTGATCCGCGAGGCATTTGCAGATGATCACCGTTCTCCCAGGTAGTCCTCATCTTTCTTTGGGAGCCAATGTTGTCACATGTTGTCATTCGCCCGCTATGATGACTTGACTGGCATGTTCACTACATCAGTAGCTCTTCATGCAGAAGGGATCATGAAAGTCTGAAACGTTGGTAGGGGCCCCTTTCTTCGCCATATTCTACTGTATTCGGAAGCCCCACATGGCCCCTGCATTGCAGCAACATCTTGGAAAAGGACATCCCTTTATATCACAAAGCCATGCTATATCATGCTGTCATATTCCAATGCAGCTGATTCAATATGGTACGCGCTTCCTACAAGCCCAAAAAACGACGTAGGAATTCATGACCCGAATGCGAAACCGTAAGTGCTTTCTGGCAACCTTACGCAGCCATATGGAAGCCGATATGACTTTCAACCGCCACCTTTCAACTATAGAAATTGAGCGTATAACTTATAAAGCTCTAGAAGTACATCGCAAAGGGCAAGACTTCTTGTAAAAGAGGCCACCTAGGTGGATATGATTGATGGTTTTGCAGACGGGCAGGGTACGGGAGTAGGGGTTCGTAGATGTAGATATCATAAGGCTACATATAAGAAATTTTGGAAAACGCCGCAAAAGAAGATGGACTAGAAGTATCTGAATATAGGGATTTCTTGCCTTTCTAGGCTTGAGTTGGTTTTTGGGGCAGTTACAAAGTAATGTGAGTTAAAGACACTGGAATCAAATCTAACGAGCCCTAGGATCTAGGAACTTCCCTGATGTAGCATTTTTTTGCTCCATCGGGTTGCCAACGGACAGAACATACAAGAAACCACAACATCCAACTCGTGCTTTTCCTTGGTGTTTAGTTGAAAGTGAGTGCTTCAATAGATGCCAAACAGCCATGGCATGCTTCAGACAATATTCCCGGAAGCTCTATTATCATTATTATTGCTATTTATTATTTTTCGGCCCATGGTTTTGATGTTATCTCATCAGGGAGGGACGCTGGAGGTATGTGTTTCAGTTTCCGAGCTAGCGCGAATGATTGAATGCTAAATGTGCTTAGCGCACATAGAGTACTAGCTTTCCTGTGCACTGTTCTCAGGTCTGATTGCTTGGGGAAGAGAGGTTCAGTTTCAATAGCTGCTGACAGTCGCATTGGCGCGGTCAGGAGGAGAGTCTCGCAGGTGGTGCTCGGGGAGGTGTGCCAATACGCAGGAATGATTTAGGTAGGGGCTTGCTGTAGTTTGCTTGGATGTCAGGTGGTGGCGATGAAGCATGGAGGCCACATGCCGAGGCCTTGAATCACAGTATAAATAGCATTGGCATGAGGTCAAAGCGCAACGCGCACTATCGAGACATGGCAGCAGCCTTTCGCTCGGTACCACCTGCGTCTGACGTTGGCACCTCATTCGCCTTCTCCTTCCTTCAAGATGTGAGGCTCTAGGGGGATCCTACCTTTCATGCACAGGACAGCGACAGCGGAGGTGACAGTTCATGACCTTGGTGGCCTTGGTGAATCAAATGATGCCTCTCTTCCAGCCAAGTGTCTGGACAGTTTTCTGTACAGCCGTGTTGCATCAATCGCTGCCGCGTTGCTAGCCCTGCCATTCTTTGAACCTTAAAGTGAGAAGCTTTTCAAAGGCATCGATTGAGCTGAGATCTGAGGGAAACTTGGGAATCCTGAAAGGACATCCAGCTTCAAGGCCGGTCGTTGGAAATATCTGCAGGTCATAAGATGCTCTGGGTCAGAAACGGCAATTTTCCATCACAACCTATGGCGACCTATGGAGATACAGAGGCCTTGACCCCAGCCGTCGACTGAGAGCAAGCTAGCGCAGGCGCTTGCCAACGAAGAGAAGAGCATCCGTAACTGTACCCTCAAGTACGCAAAGTCTTGGTTTTCTGGTGCGGAGCAAGTGCCCCTCACAACTAGCCTCAATAGAGAAACTGCTCGCGGAAATGGCTGAGAGGTTCTGTCGAGCATGGCCTGCTGCATTGTTGCTGATGTCGCTGACTGTGTTGTGTGCAGAAGTTGCCACTTCAAACTTGTACGTCGATGCCGCTCTCAATCTTTAGTTGAGTTGAAAACATAACCCAGCAGCAGGCAAGCAGCAGGAAAAACGTTAGCACGCCTTTACCGTCTTAGCGCATCCTGTCAGTTGAGCTCACTAGGAGCATCCCTCGCAGATTCCGTTGCCGGCATGTTTAGCTCCCTGTCGGTTCGCGGGCTATGGAAGGCCTTGCCGATGACAACAGGGGGCTCCCTTGACTCGGATGATGACGATGATTCTGGCTGGTCTGATAGGCTTGAAGAGATCTACGAGCAGACTAAATCCTTTCATACAACGCATCAGAAATTTTTCATTCGACTTTCACTGGCGCTTTCTGTTGCTTTTTGGGTCACGTTGTTCAGTTTACCACTTTACTTCGGGAAGCTTCACTATTGCGTCTTCGGCTTTCGCGGGGAGCTCCATGAGACGTACTCTGCGTATGGTCGGGATCCCGGCTGCAAGCCCGAAATGGTCGGCAAGATGCGAAACATCGGAAGCTTCAAGGAGCCTGAGATGGTGCAGTGGACACCAGACATGACTCCCTGGCATGACAACTTACGACACAGGGACATTTGGTGTGGCTATCTGCCAGCCACCTGGGAAGACTACTGGCCAAACATTGCGCAGTTCATCGTCTTCACCGTCTACGCCAGCACCGGGGACACGGTCCGCCTGGCCTGGCAGGGCCTCATCGGCACGGCCGGTGCCTGCATCAACCTCCAGCCCCTTGAGCCTAAGACAATCATTCATTCTGTTACACAATTCTGTTGGTTGAGGTTCTTCTTGCGTTTCTAGCTCGGAAAATTCCAGGTTCATGTGCTGGCTTTATCCTGGTGGAGCTTACGCAGCCACGTGTGCAAGCGGCGAACCCTGTGTCCCCAACAACTTCAGTTTTGTGGTGTGTTGGATCGACGTGCTGGGTGTGCTCTTTCTTTTCCTGGCGTCAAGGGCCAATGAGAACACCATCAAGTTCGGGATGTCCTGGCACGTGTGCTTCATGATGGACTTCATGAATCCAACAAAGACCCTTAAACAGCAAATACAGCAAGAATCCTCAGCGGGAGCTTGTCCGGTTGCCATGTTGTTACAGTGAGGCCACTGCCTGGCGGAGTCTTGGAGGATCTGAGTGGTGTGAACATTTGGTCAAACGACTTGGTCCCGGAGATCTTACTGACCTCCGTGGTCGGAGCTGTGATCTCAATTCTGGCAACTTTTATCCCTAGGATCTTCTTTTGCATGCGACCTCTCGCGAACAGGGTATGGGCAGCTCAGAATTCTCTGGCCTGTGCCGAACACATTGGTAGCGTCTGGAAGGAGAGCATCGAGTCCGGACCTAAGCCTTGGCTGCAAGACTGCACGCCTCGTGCCTGCTCGAATCATGGGACGGTATTGCGTTTCTCCAAGATATCTCTGTGGCACCAAATCTTATGCCAAGAAGTACCAACTGCAGCGGAAGGTGCTGGCCTTACCTGAAGGAATCAATGTTAGAAGGCATGAGGTCAAGAAAAGACTGCTTGTATGACCCCGAACCCCTCCGGCTGTCTGTCTTGGTGTCACTGCACCGAGATCGACGATGTGCGAGAAAAGATTGCAAGCACCAAGGGCCAGGCTCTGGAGCTGAGTCTTGCGTGAAAAGTGTCATCAGAGTCACACACCCGCAGCGCACACTCTCTAATTTTGGATCTTGTCTGGCATGCGGCCCTTGGCAAGCCTTGCCTCCTGTTTGCCACGCAACGTTTATGTTAGTCTGCTTGTCACGGAGGAAGTCGGCTCCACCTCGTGTCATGTCAAGTCTTTGAGCAGTCTTTGAGCAACGCCAAAGGCACGCATTCCTTCAAACGGACTTCAAATCATCATGTTGTGATGGCGCAATGTGGCGCAGACTTGAAGAGTGCTTCGTTTGAAACCGCAGCTTCAAAGCTTCTCGGCACTGGAAGGAGTCGACGCCCCAACCAGGGTCAGCTCGAGAGCAATTCAGTGGACAGTTTTGGGGCCCTGGTACGGGTGAGTTGCGTTTCGGTGGTTTTGTGCGGGATCGGCAAAGAACAGCACCATATGAGAAGCCAACCCTTCCTCATGCTCAGGATGATGTTTGTCAGGTGACTTGTTGGGACCTGACACGCTCAACCGGAGTCACTGTTGGCGTGCTTTTGTCGTGTCGTCCCCCAGACCGAGGCGGGATCCTAGCATCCCGTTGCTCTACCCCGATGAACAATATGAAATGCGTGGTCCTGCTTGACCAATTCAGCCATGGGAAGCATGCATTGGCGGTCTGTGAACCTTGAGGATCCCTAAATCGTCTCCAGCTGCGCAATGGCAGACCCAAACTTCTGGTGCTAGCACCGTAGCGAGACGTCTGGTCGCTAGCCCCAAGTGGTGAACAGTTATTGCGAGCAAAAAACATGACATTACAACAGGCACCTTGGCTGTTGAAGGGCAGGAAGCGCTGAGTACAGAATTAGGACTGTAATTATGCAAGAACGGATAGCCTGATCTGGCAACGCCCTGGCATACTGCAGGTGGAGCAAGCGTGGTGGGAGACCTTTCAGTGTGGAACACCGGAGCAGGTGCAACTCTGGGACTTGAGCAGATTGCTCGAGGCTGAAAAGCTAAGCAAGCAAGCAGCCAGCCTGCAGGTACGTCTGAAGCAGCATGTCTTCCTGACAGGCGCACGGTTGGGAAGCGTTAGGACTCCTATTGTGACATGGGCCTAGCTACAATCATCTACCATCCAGAGCCGCCAGGTGTGGAGGGTGTGCAGCGCACTATGTACGCGTTGGCAAACTGCATCTTGTGCGAAGACTTTGGTGGGCAACACAATGAATTTGTGGGTGCTCTCTACCATAGCGTGATGAGGCTTCATGAGAATTCCTTCAAACTCACGGTGACCTGTTCCCATGCTTCGGCTGATGGTGTCATCACAGACGACGAAGCAGAAGAAATTGAAGCCTTGCAAGAGAGGGTGCGAGAATGCCAGCGCGAGCTCCTCCACAAGTTCCGACAAGCAGTGCCCTCCGGCATTTCGGCAAGTCTGGCGGAAGAGATCACTTTCCTGTTTGCTCTCTCCTTCTGGGCTACAACCACAGAAAACCTGGCTACCGAACTGGTGACGCACGAGCCCAGCAGAAGCTGGTATACCGTGATCAAGCAGGGCTTTGTGGACACCTGGGGTCTTCACCACGTCTTAGAGCCCGACCATCTCAAGTTTGTTGTTCGCAACTTCATTCCCATATCCACCTGCTATATTCTGGCATATGCAGTTCCTACGAATTCCGTTTTCGTGCAGTACTCTGCAACAATGCCAAACACATTAGCGTCCTCCTGGCTGCATCAGTTTCCAACTTGTTGTTTTCTCAGCCTGATCCCGTGTGAGTAACTCCTTACGGCTTTCTGCAACCTGCCTGTAGGGTGCACCGTGTTCAGCTTTGTCATCACCTGGATCACCCTTACCATCCCCTGCCTGCCCTTCTGTTTCATCATCTCCAGCTCAGGTTGCTGATTACCCGCTTTTCCGGGTCTGCCTTCACAAAGAACATCCATCGGACACTCGGAGTCCTCTTGGGCAAGTTCTGGCCCATACTTCTGAAGGCATCCTGGATGGCCTGGCCGTGCCAGTGGGATCCTTAGGCATCACACTTCGAGGAGCTAGGCAAACGTCTGCAGCGCTACGTGTTACAACGTTGTGATGCTGAGGTCAACGGAGCGTGGAATTTTGCAACTGGTTTCCCTCTTCCTCTTTGTTGCCTTGTCAAGCTATGTCTACTACAGCTCCACGACGTGGGCTACTATTGCTGTGCTCGTGGCAGGCTACGGTGTCTACCCGCTCATGATCCCATGCGAGAGCGATGTCTCATCGGAGCGTTCCTGAAAATTGGGGTGCGTCAAACTCTTTCCCTGTGCAGATTCCAGAGACTACAGAGAGAGAGAGAGAGAGAGAGTGAAGGCCGTAGCCATTTTGGCTCAAGTCACCACCTGTGCTCTCCTTCTGGAGGGCGCATTCGTTGGACGCGGCCCCTCTCCGGGGAGGGTAAGGCCCTTCCTGGCGGGGGGTGGACGCTGTTCTTCGAGTGGCGGCTTGAGGCCCACCGTGCAACATTTCCTGCTCAGACCCCGCAAGCCAGCTTGTGGGAAACCGAAATCTGTCCGGGGGAAAACGTTTATGGGCGAGGTGGTTACGTTGCCAAGTCTATTCAAACCCGCATGGGAGTCGAATGTAACATGGGTTTAGGGAGAGTCCTCCTTTTACGGGAGTTCAGAACCTTTGCAGCCATGGCCAAAACAGGGAATGCCGAAGTGCCAATCGAGATCGACGCAGACATCAATAACCTGGGAAGCGAGAGTGGAGGGAATAGGGCAGAAGGCCCCAGTCCTACGAAGAAAAGGGAAAGACCTCTTGGGTGAGAACAGGATAGGCGTGAGGGAGGAGGCCTGACGTTGGCAGATCTGCAGTTAGCTCTCGCTCCGGTTCTACAGGGTTTGCAGAATCTGCAGGGAAGGATGCAGACAGTGGAAGCACAAGTGTCCCAGAAGTTAGATCACACCTTGAACATGGTGAAGACCCTCCATGAGCGGCAAAAGGAACAGGAGAACGAGATCCACAAGATAGCGGGAAGCCCTAAGAATCAAGAACAGAACCAACAGTCGCAAGCGAAGGAGATGAAAGACATTGTGGCAAGATTGGAAGCGCTGGAACAGAAATGTGCTGCCACAGTGTGGAAGTCGGGGATGACGCAAAGGGATTATGGAGGGCGCACGCCAGCACTGATCATTGGGGGGTGGCCGGACGACCAGCCAGCCGAAGACACAGTTCAGAAGGCCAGGGAGTACCTCCAGAAGCTTGGAGTCCCACTTGACCTCCAGGGACTTTTTACCCCAGGATTGCGGAGAGGATGCTCCATACTCCCAATCGAGCCGAAAGAGGGGGAAGACTCCAGGACATTGTACCAGAGGCTTGTGGGAGTGGTCTCCATTGCCAGAACAGTCAAAGAACACACGGAGGCCAGGAACGACAAAGGCCAGCCGAAACAAGTCTGGGTGGCGATTTCGGAGCCACCTGAGCAGAGGCGTAAGTCGCGTTTTGCTGGGAAGGTGAAGCGTCTGGTTCTGGAAGCAGCAGAGACATTGGCCAAGACAGTTCAGGTGCAGGCAGAGTACCGTGCTGGAACAGTGTGGGTGGAAGGCAAACGAGTGGCGAGCGCCACGGCACCAAAGTTAGCGACTGCTCTGGACGGAGGACATGGTTGGATCGACGTGGCCCAGATTGCGGCAACCCTGGGAACCCATGAGTCGGAGGTCAAAGCCAGGTGGCTGGAGCTGGAGCAGCAGCTCAACTGACCACAAGACGAGAAAACAGCTGGGAAGAGAAAGGTGGAACCTGGCTGCACAGTGAGAGCGGAGAAAGCGCGGAAATTTAGGATGCAGTTTTCGAGGGAGAGTGCATGGGATGGGAGGCAACATCAAAGGAGAATTGTAGCCTTAGGCCTTAGGCACCTACTCAGATAAGGTGGTCAGCAGATGGCATCACATGTACTTTTCACACCATTTTGCAGGCCAATGCATGGCAAGTCCAGTGGGGTGGCATATGGGAATATGAGTGTGTTGCTGCCTGTTGTTGGAGTTTCCCGGAAATATGCTAAGGGGAAGTAAGGTTGCCCGCTTGAGTGTTGAGCCACAAACTCGAAACGCTGCCAGGAGAGCAGTGTCTTGGGAAAAGGGTTGAATCCACGTGCTCTGATGCAAGTAGCCAGCATCAATTCAAAGGAAAGAGGTAGTGGGAAATGTAAATGTGCACAAAGGAACCAAATGGAGTATATAGAGAATGGTGACTAGGAGAGTCATCCGCACAGTGAGCAGTGAGAAGCAGGGAAGAGTGATTCTTATATGGATATCAGGGTCTGAGGGGAAGCCTCTAGGTGGGAAAAACGATCACTCTTCAACCTTACCTCGGCTCACGAACCAGCGCTAGGCTGTTTTTCCAACCGACCATTTTCCCGTGAGTGAGGTGACATGCACCGGAAGGGGAGGGGGAGAAGAAGATGGGTAAGTGGAGCGTGTATTTAACGTTCCGGTGAACATGCGAACCTCCTCGCTGCCAGCGAACCATTGGGCTGGGGGTTCGCCCCCGCAGCATCCTTGATGCTGCATAGCCTGTAGAGGAAGAAGAAGAAGTGAAGGCTGTTTACACAGTTACCCCCATCAATGGTCTCGTGGCAACGCCTGGGCAACCAGTTCACAAGCCAGTCAACATTTCCCCCACATCTTATTTCCCTATCAAACATACCTGTCCAAATATACCCCTAAGATTGGTATGACCCAAAAAAATGATGAAGCTGGCCAAGTTATCACCTTGCAGGGATACGTCCTGTAGGAGATTTTCAAACACTGGGCAACCACCACCTCCATGTGTGGGTAATTCAACTACGGGCCCGGTTAACCTAAACCTGGTGTGGTTCCCAGAATGCTTGAAAAAAACGAGGGGTGAACAAGCCAATCTGCCCAACACGGGCTGGGCAATGAAGCCCGGGGGAGGCCTTGGCCTTCCCCCATAGCCTGAACGAAAGAAAGAAAGAAAGAAAGAGAGAGAGGGGATGTAAGAAACTCGTGCTACTAATTACAATCCTCGGACTCGCTGGTGCCGACCCTTGATGCGCTGGGACCGCACTTGGGCTTGGGGTTGCACCCCGGCTCCCCTGCAAGGGGGGGGCAGAGCCTGGATAAAAAGAAGAAGAAGAAGAAGAGAGGGGAATTTGACAACCCTTCACCTACTCCTTACCATATGAAGCAAAGCTTGGTGGGGCAACGAGGGGTTTAGTTCTAACTCTCAGCGAAGCCCAACACGGGCTGGGCAGGAGCCCGGGTTGGTCTTCAGTGGCCAACCCATAGCCCGCACGAAAGAAAGAAAGAAAGAGGAATTTGAAACTTTCCACAGCACCGCTGGAATGTTCATCGTCACCGCCACCAATGACGCTGCCAGACTCCCCGGAGGGAAACCCAGCTGAACCACCAGGCGGACGAGGAAATCTCTGGAGCGACCTCCAACCGGCACGTGCTCAACCACCCTCCTTGCCAAACCTTTCAAGCCAACTACGCCTTCACCGATAACTCAGGTGTATGCACAGCAATTGTGCAACAAATCAAAAAGGTTCTAGGCAACTGTATCATACTGGTAATTGCCGAACTCTAATGAGGCCACTGGGCGACAAAAGCTTTCACCGAAAAAAGAAAAGCCTGCAAAGGCGCTAGTGCCATCGACCGGGGGAGATGGGCCCAAAATCTTACATCATGCCGGCTGTTGGTTTTTCCACTTAGCCCAAGAGCGGCGAGCCAGCAAATACGGTTTCACGTAAAGGCCCAAGTAGGTATGTCACACTTGCAAACCATTTTCCCATACTCACCTTCTCCCATCATTACCGCTTGGCCAAACGGTTTCACAAAGTCCTCCCAAACCTACAACAGTTCACTTTCATTTGTAAGCCCAAGTTTTTGTAACATGGAGGCAACTTGTGATGAATCAATCACCAGTAGATGTCCACAATGCACGGCTAATAATGGGGCCCCAAATTTACGTACCTGTTACTGTGTATGGCCGTCCTTGTGGCGTTGAGGGGTAGAGTTCTGAGTAGCCCAACACGGGCTGGGCAGGCGCCCTGGATGACCTCCTTGGTCATCCCAGAGCCCGAACGAAAGAAAGAAAAAAAGGAATTTCTAATACTCCGGTCTTCGCGGGGGTGACCACGTGACTCGGACAATCGCGCGGCCAGGGGGTGTAACCGTCGTGGGGGTCTGGTAGGGCTCTCACATAGCCAATAGAAGAAGAGAGAGGGAGTCTGGGAGGGAGAGAGAGAGACACACACACACACACACCTGGGTACCCAATCAGGCTTGTTGTGGACCATGCTGGGCTGGGGGTGTACCTCCGGGGAGTAGTAGTACTCCCTTAAGCCCGAAAGGAAGGAAGGTTGGAAGGAAGGAAGGAAGGAAGGAAGGAAGAGAGAGACAAACACACACGCACACACGCTGCTGCTGTTGCACAGCCAACTTGAGGTAGGGGATTCCAAGGCACAAGCCGTGGGGGGTAGCTACAAGTATGTCATTTGCTAGTGTACTTACCGTGCCATTGTAATCCTTGGACTCGTTGCTCCCGACTCGACAGAGACGTGTGCGAAGGCTCGGGGTCGCAGCCCGGCTCCCCTGTAAAGGGGGGGCTTAGCCAGAAGAAGAAGAAGAAGACACAGACACACACATTGCAAGAAGCGCGACTTGAGAACGGCAGGACAGCTACTATTCGGCGCGGTACAAGGAGATCGGGCAGGTGACTGTCGCGATCATGCTGCAGTTCTGCATCGAGTCGGCCTTGCACGCCACTTCTCCTGCAGAATTGGCAATCAAGAAAATGGAGCAAGCAGTGCAGGCTGTCCGAACCGGCTTCCGTGGGTTCTTTGAAGGCGACCTGGACTTGATGGCAGAGGGCATGAAGACGGAAGGTTACCTGCTGGAGGCCAGGGCTCTGGCGGCTGAGGCGGACCCCAGCGTGCAGCTGGCCCCTGGCTGGCAGGCGCATGGTTTAGACTTCATATCTGGTACTTGTCCTCCACGGAAATGGATGTGGGCTGGAGAGCCCCTTACTAAGAGCCTTACAGAGAGGATGTTGGCAAGATTGCGCTTCCATAGCAATATGCAAATAGAAAGGGGGAGTTCAGTATCACGATTCGCAGATAGGATTGTGCTATTGCTGTTCGCTCTTGGCCCCCTAAGTGTCTGCATGTACTGCGCATTTTGGGCGTGTCGTGTCGAAACTCAAGCCGTCGCTGTTCGGTATCAGCTTTCGGGCTTGGGCTGCCTGAAGAGACGTGCAGCCTTGAAGCTTTGCTGGACGCTGACGAGAGTCAGACAAACTGACATTTGAGCTTCAGCACATTGCCATGATTGTGAGGAGTGCTGACGCGAACTTGAGACCGCTGTAAGCTCAAGACAGCAGGTTGTGCGGAGACGTTGAACACGCTCATCTTGGTGAACAGCTGGGAGTTGCATACAGCTGCAGCTGAAAAGCTCGAGTTCGACTAGAGTAGTCCCCTGTCGAGGGAGAGACGTCTCCGTCAGCACCTCACGCTTCAAGAGAAGCTTGGCAAGCGATCCCTTGTGACAGCTGTTGCTGACTCATAGGTCCTCTTAGTAGTGAGGCTCTCTTGGAAGGAAAGGTTGTTCTTCATGAGCACAGCATGCTGAACAGAGGCATACAGTCCATTTTCTAAAATTGATTGGCTTGAACACTTGGATATACTCTTGGAACTTGATTTGCTGTGTCCAGACAAGCTGACCTGCGCTTAAGGCACACCCCACTGCGGAACTGCTACCTAGGCCCAAACGTGAAGCCAAACCAATTGTGATTTTCCCATTCAGCGGGGCTATCTATCCGTAATGTCCCATTCATCTTAAGAACCCATCCCCCGTCCCCAGGATGTAGGCCCGAGCATTGGATTTTGCATTACGGAGAGTGGTTTGTAATTACGTTCTGGGACTTGGATTTTCCAATCATGCTGCTTTTGTAAAGATGTCAACATGAGTGAGAGCTTCCGTCGCCGAGATTTGGTGACAGCATTGACAGTGGGGTGCTCTAGGAAGATGCCTCTCAGTTGCCCCATGCACAGCCATGGCCTTGAAGCTTAGTCCTTGGGAACTTCAGTTCAAGTTGCAAAGGGGTGGATTTGTGTCTGACATGTTCAGGCGCCCTTCAAGCTCCGACTCTACACTATGAGTCTCGATGTGTTAGATCAAATCAAGTCCGACTACGTCATGCTCTTCAATGCATGCCTGGACCAGCAATCCTTCTCGGCGAACGGGGAGAACACCTCCGAGATTCTCCGACCACTGTCGGAGAACCCTGCAATGAGGGCACTCTTCGAGCGACTCACAGGACCTTGAGCAGCGACGGTCATAACAACACATGAATAAGTAGATATACATGTAAATCTCTCTCTCTCTCCCCCTCTCTCTCTCTCTCTGTCTCTCTCTGTCTTTCTCTCTCTCGAGGCCTTGCCCTGTGCTCTCTGTCAGGCCACTCGCACAACATCATGGACTCCCTCTTCAGGACATTGAGACACACGTCAGAGACCTCACTCGACTCAGACATCCTGAAAGAGGTCGTGGAAGTCTCCTTTCATGCGGTGTTTCCAGAAGATGAGCGCGATCGACTTTACCGAACACTCACTCTGAATCTGTGACCTGGAATCAAAGTCTGTGAGCTTTCCCATACTTGTCAGAAGTTGTGTGAGTTTCTGTTAGCAGCAGCCAGGCCAGCCATGTCCAAGCAGCACCTCAGTGTCGTCTACGATCCACAAGCACGGGCGACTGTGGTCATCCGGGCCTTGGAAAACGCAATAAACCACTTGGAAGACATCTGTTCACTCATCATTGGCGAGGACATCTTCTGAAGGCTTACACGCCTCGCATAAACGCTTTCACGCTGCATGCTTAAGTATGTTTGGTTGAGCAACACCAAGAAGTCATTGGACTAGTGTTGCAAGATTATATATCATGGTAATGCCCATGCGTAGTGGCTACCTCTACCAGCGCATTGCGCATTGCGCAGCGACTTGGCTGTGCCGCCTTGGTCTGCGCAGCGAGCAGTTTTGCTCGAGTTCGCTCAGTGGTCATTGAGTAGAACATCATGAGCAGTTGTTGCTACTGGTACGCCAGTGGCATCTATCGGTGCTTAATTCGGGGCAGACGGGCAGACCATGCAGTGCTGGCTGAGGGCCACATACCAAATTATTTTGGAGAGCTATACTGATTGCTTATGGCCGACTCTCGCAAGGCTTCGGTGCAGAACAGTGCGTAGCCTGGGACGGAATGCAGCAACAAGATACTTGTAGATCAAATGCGCAGTACGCGCTGTATCAGTTGTGACAATTGCCGGCTTAAAGCTCCGCGATAGGGGGGCAGCAGGTGCTTCAGGCTTTCGTGCAGAAGTCAATCTATTCAGCAAAACTTTGTTCAGTTATGGTGACAGCCTGATGTACATGTGGAAATGAATCCAGAGGGGCGCGTTTCCGTTGGCTTTCAGGCACCCTGCAAAGGTAATGCAGTGACCTAAGCAGCTTGGAGTGCTTGCGAGGTGGCTGTGATTGGGAACCGTGGGGCTGGCAAGTCGGCGCTGATACGCGCTGCACCTATCAACGAGGGAGCCCATGAGGTCGGAGGTTTCTTGAGGCCGAACTTGCATGATGCAAGAACAGCGATGCCTTGCCAGGAAGCTGGAGATGGAGTACAGCTTCACAAAGCTGTGCCGCGCTCAGCTTGGTGGAGTTCCGCGTGCAGCTTTGGAGACCGAGGCATGTTTCTACAACTCCTTCTCTGTCATGGCTGACTTTGTGGAGATGCCACCCGACGCCGCCCTTCAGAGCTCGTCCCAATTGTGCTGCTTCACAAGTCAACATTCTGTGCAGGACCGATACTATGGGCTGTTGCCCTACTTTGGTATCGCCCCAAGCACAGCTCATGGAGCAGCTCTCGAAACTTAGGATCCGTGACCATGTGCTCATAATTGTGCAGGCGGGGCGGCCGCCTGCATCATTCTCGTTGTCAACATCCTGGATTGCTGGGCTTGTGACTGTTGGGCTGCGGTCATGAGTGAAGTCGGGGTAAGCATACAGGACTCAAACGGCCACTCCGCCCCAGACTCAGAGCCAAGAAGATGTACTTGACTGATTACTGCTGGAAACCACACTGCAGGATCTGTGCAACAGACTTGCAGCGCTGGGAACTCCTCCGCCAAAATCTTTGCTTATTGCATGAAGCAAAAAGTCTCCAAGAAGCACTGCATGCACATTTTGAGGCCTTGCGGTTTGCTGGTGGTGCAGGGTTCTCTGCCCTCCAGCACAGCCTCGGGGGAGGACGAATGTGCCATCCTGGTGGATGCCGTGATAAGCAAAACGAAAAGGAGCGGCGACGTCTTGAACCTCTTCGAGATGTTGCTGCACGCCAGAGCCCGCATGCACCTAAGTCAGCCCACGTGGCCTCACAGGCTGCTCATCCAAGGTTGGGGCCTGAAGTTCCTTCGGTTTGAGACTTTGGAGCAGCTCGCGAGGGCCCAGATCTTGCAGTCTGCGGGGATGCCCAGTCATGTGCATGTAGGGTTCGGCAGGTCTGAAGTTCAGCGGAGTGACGGCGCTTTTAATCCAAGCTCAACATTAATAGAGCCCCCTAAATTTACAAACTTGGTTTGGGCCATTTGGCGGTTCAAGAATACTTTAAATGCAGAGGGTTTGTTGGGGCCACAGAACCCTAGATTCTAGATAGAAAATATTTCCAGAGCCTAAAGAGCAATAGAAGCATTTTGGTATGATTGTTCATTCGTTTTTGTTTTGCCCATGATTTTAGCTAGCCTTCGATTCATCGTTACTTAGATTCAAGAGCTTACCTTAAACGGTTTAAGGTTTCGGGAGACTTGGTTGCTTTGAGAATGAGAGTAGGAAGGCTGATTCTGAAACCTGATCTGCTTACCAAAGTTTATTCAGAATCGAAGGCTCGAGCATTACTTCCTGAGCTACCCCTTACGGAGCTTTTGTGAGAGGGTCTCTCCTCATAGAGCAATGGTCAATACTCGGGTATTAGGCACGGACAGAAGGAATGCCGTCAGACATAGGAATCGCGCAAAAAGCCGCAAAAAGCGATAGGACCCCCTCAAAAACGATACCCCTCAATCTAAGATGTAACCACGACTGTATTTGATCTAAACCCCCCAAAGGCGATGCCTTTCTTGTATCCTACGCGAAAACCCCCCAAAAGCGATAGGACCCCCCCAACTCGTCTATGGCATCGGATTAATAAAGGAGTTTCGACGAAGGCTCGTTGTTAGAAAACCACCTAGAACACCAGAAAAAATCAATCACAGGAAGGTTTTGCTCAATAGTTAATTGACTTTCTATGGAGAGCCGGGGGAGAACCGGGAGTATCCCAGAAAAATGGGCCTCAGTTATTAATGTAGGAGGGGGCGGGAAGGAGGGGGCTTTTATTATTGCGGAGCTTGGATTCGTGTTTTCTTCCAGTTTTCAACACGGGCTGCAGCGCAACAGCCACCGTCTGCAAAACAGATTTTGCCCTTTACTGTCATCAGCGAGATTGGCTTCTGAAGGCACTGGTAAGCAACTGCCATCTCCACGTGATTTGCGTCGCTGAAGTTTGCGTCTGCCGTGGAGCTTGAGGTTTGCGACTTGGTGCTTGGGGACTCAACCTCAGATCCTGTGTTTTGTTTATTCCAGCTTGGCTTTTGGTCTGCGGAGGACATTCCTGATCGGGGTGACCCGATGCACTTGTTGGGCCGCCGCGTCGCGAGAGGCATGAGCCCGTGACAGGCTGGAGGTGTCTTCAGACAGTCCGTCAGATCTCAACAAGAGAGCTGAGTTTGCGAGTGGCGAGAGCTGCGAAAGCAAGCACAGGATTGTCAAGACGAAGCAACAAAAAACAGTTGACAAGTTTGAGCTGCGCAGTCGGCCGATTTCTTGTGCACGGTGTTCAAGACCCATAGAGGAGTCTCAATGAGTTTGCATATTCATATTCGGAATCCCCATAGCCCCGAAATGTGTTGCAGAACTCCCCTACAAGACATCTCTACGCTGCAGCCGCGGTTGCAGCCATGGTAGTCTGGGCGGTTCAGAAGCCATGGTTGAAGCAGAACCTCCCATACCGGGCCCACTTCCCGACCTTTCCGGGCTTCCCGGGCGGCGGCAACTGGCAGCAGCGGAAGCCTCCTCCTACAGTTCCCGAGAACTTCCAGGCCTGAGCATCAAAAGGATGCCCAGAACAGTAATTACAGTAAGAGTTGTAATAATAGTACTAATCGTAATAATGGTAGAAATAGTAGCAATTTCAGTCTCAATAGTTTTAGTTGTAATCATAGGTTGTGTGAAGATCATCATATGACAGCCAGCCCCTTAGGTGGACTCCAATGCCCGCCATCAGGGCACCTGCGTCTACTACCATAGGTGGAGGGGCTACGGGTGCCATGGCAACACCTTATTTGCTCGGGAGGTGTGCTGGTTTGGGCTTGGGGTGTTTCAATGGTCTAACCAGGTTCTTGGAGCCTACGCATGCGGGCACGGTCCCTACGAACAAAGTCTTCGTCCACTGGAAGCAACTTACCAGCGATGACCGCTTTCCATTTCTGGTAAAGGGCCTGGAGGCCAGAACTGTGTAAGTTTGTCCCTGTCCCCCAACTTGACGGTGCCCGTGTTTTGCAGAATATGAGTTTGCTCAGGGAGACACTCAGAGGGAGCGTTGTGGGCTTTTTTGGATTTGCCCCTTGTGGAGGTGGAGTTCAGCCTCATGGTGTCCAAAGACTTCCAGCGGGGGCTCAACACGCTCCGGGCGAAGAATGTTACTTTGGCGCACCCGGCGCGTCTGTCTGTGAAATGGGTAAGGGTTTGGGGTTTAGGGTTTAGGGTGCACCATGAGGGTTTCGCACACAGAGGGGCCCCAGCTTGCGTAGACTGTGCATGTACATCTATCATTGAATCATGCCTAAGAGGCTTGGCATGAACCCCTTTGAGAGAGGGCAAAAACGAGCCACGTGGCTTGTTCTCAAAGTTATGGACCTTTTTTGGTCATATATTGGATTGCGGCACCTAATATTTAGGGGTACCAAGATGGGACCCTGATTTTGGGAACTATGTGCCAGGTCGGAGGGGAGAGCATCGCGCTCCAGGATGAGATGGATGCGACTGAAAAACAATTCGTGGGCGGACAGCATTTGAGGTATACCGGCACCTTGAAGTTCTATTCGCCAAGGCGCGCAAGTGCATGGTTGCAGAGGTTTGCTGGTTCAAGATGCATGCTGTGAAGGCACGGATTTGGTTACGTCATCATGGATGAAGGACAGGTCAGAAGATCACCAAAGCTGTGTGGCTGGGATTTGGCCTTGCTATAGCAGCCATGGTCACCATTCAGGATATGATGTTGATCCAAGTGTTCCGCTTGAACTTCGGGTGGATCACGAAGAGGTGGTTCACCAGCTGCACCCGACGAGCTGCGAGCAACTGCTCCTGTTAGGTGAACGCTGCAGGGCAGCAGCCCGTGCATATGCGCAGCATTGCAGTAGAGTTTGGCATCTACCGGCACCGGCCTCGCCTCTCATCAGAGCAAATGTTCATGAACTTGGGCTGCTGCGAAGGACCGACCGGGGCCAGTACAAAGTATACAACATGACCTTGCAAGGTGGTCATCCTCTGACCCAGGCAAGGCCTTCGCATTATGCTGCAGGTAGTTCTGGTTCAGATGTTCGCGAAGGATGCGCTGGAGAACCGTATCTCCATGGGCATGGGTATGTACAGAGGTCAGATCGCATTTTGGAACTGGAGGCCAGCAGGGGAAAATAGTACACCAATTTGCAAAACTCTCTGTGCTCAGGCAAGGCTATGGGTTCATTAGACCAGATCCGACTTCCATCTTGCCAGAGAAGGCTGTGCATCATGCTTCTGCGCCCTTTTCCTGTTGTTCTTTCCGGCGCGATGCCCAAAGGTGGTCGCGCGCCTGGTAGAGCAAGCGGACGCCGCACGCCAGCGCGGCAAGCGGATTGCTGAGGATGCTCACCCTGTACACATGCCATGAACTGCTGGCTGCATCTAATCGCAGGCAAAAGGGATGGACCTTGAGAAGGTGTTTGCGATAGTGGTGTGAAAGCAACCTGTGAGGACAACCTCCTGTATTTCCGGCGGCCGGACGTCACACCCATGCTGATACCGCAGCAAGGGATGCAGGAGCGGATGTCTTAGCAGCTGCAGTTTTGCATCATTGCACTGCCATGCAGGTTGGGTTCCAGGTCTACATTGATGACAAAGGAGCTGGAGCCTGTGACATCACGGCCTAGGTCCTACGCACTTGTGCAGATTTCACCCCCTCGGAGAGGGTACAAGGACAGAACGGCCACACAAAGCAATGCACCAATCCAACAACATCTTGCTAGGTGATTAGGGTCATGCCAGGTGCCAGGTACTTAAGTACTTACTTCCATGGCCTCCTGATTGTAAATGACATCCTAGCTCTGTTGCATCGTTCACTTGGCGAGCGACATGCAAAAAAGGAAAGTGCTCCTGCAGAGTCCCAAGCTGGCTTGCACAAGAAATCTGCAAAGAGCACCGAGTCCGCCGGTTGATCGAATGGCACGGAAAGTTTAGCAACCTGACAGCTGCAGCGGGTGCATGGCGGACATCAAGGGGCTATCCGTGCCTGAGGCTCAGCTCGTGGAACCTTTGTTTCTATACCGCTGCATCGGAAAAGTGGAGCAAAGTGACCCCGATGTTGCCTTTCTTGGGGTATCCGGAAGTGGAGCCTCAGGCATTTCAAGGAATATGTTCCCAGCAACCCAATGCTGTACTGCGGGCGCTTCCTGCAGCCATTTCGGACCCAGCACGACTT